CTTGAGAAGACCATTTGATCCTTCTGATTTCCAGACCGTGGATCTCACAACTCCAGATCTCTACTATCTAATATGATAGACACGAGCCACAAGTGGCTGTTTAAATTTAACTAGTTTAAATGTAAATAAAATTAAAAATTCAGGGACTTCCCCGGTGGCGCAGTGGATGAGAATCCACCTGCCAGTACAGGGGGCATGGGTTGGATCCCCAGTCTGGGAAAATTCCACATGCCACGGAGCAACTAAGCCCATGTGCCACAACTACTGAGCCTGCGCTCTAGAGCCCAAGAGCCACAACTGCTGAGCCCGTGTGCCACAACTACTGAAGCCCACACACCTAGAGCCCGTGCTCCACAGCAAGAGAAGCCACTGCAATGAGAAGCCTGCGCACCGCAACAAAGACCCAACACAGCCGCCCCCCCTGCAAAAAAATTCAGACCCTCAGTAGCACTAGCCATATCTCAAGTGCTCAATAGCCGCACAACTACCATATTGGACAGCAGAAATTAGAAAGTTCTGTTGGAGAGTGCTGGTCTGTATGGAACATGAATGGGAGATATAGCAAATTGATGTCTCTGGGCACTAAATGAGGGGTTGAATTTGATCACTTCCAAGATCCCTTCCAGCTCAAATGTCCCTCATTTTGAAAGCCCAGATGGTTACTCTGTCAATGTGAGTAGCTGGGAAAAGTGTCTGGAGACAGAGCTCTGGAGGAGCAAAACTGCTTGCATGACGAGCTGCTCATCCCTGAATACAGGAGAGCTCAGGAGTAAGAAAAAGTCCGATTCACAGCAGCATCTTGTTTAAAAGTCAAAGGAAAGAGGGATGAGAAGAATGCAGAGAGAACAAAGTCAGAGGACTGACACACCTGACTGTGAGACTTGCTACAAAGCTGCAGTAATCAAGACAGTGTGGTGTTGTCAAAAGAATAGACAAATACGTCAATGAAACAGAAGAGAGCCCAGAAATAGACCCACGTAAATATGGTCAACTGATCTTTGACAAAAGAACAAAGGTGATACAGTGGCACAAGAATAATCTTTTCAACAAATGGTGTTGGAACAGCTGGACATCCACACGTAAAAAAAAAAAACGAATCTAGACACAGCCCTTGCACCATTCACAGAAATTAACTCAAAATAGATCACAGATCAGGGCTTCCCTGGGGGCGCAGTCGTTGAGAATCCGCCTGCCAATGCAGGGGACACGGGTTCGATCCCTGGTCCGGGAAGATCCCACATGCCGCGGAGCAACTAAGCCCGTGCACCACAACTACTGAGCCTGCGCGCCTAGAGCCCATGCTCAGCAACAAGAGAAGCCACCGCAATGAGAAGCCTGCGCACCGCAACTCAGAAAGCCCGCTTGCCGCAACTAGAGAAAGCCCCCACGCAGCAACGAAGACCCAATGCAGCCAAAAATAATAAATTAAAAAAAAATACTTCTTAAAAAAGAAAAAAAAGTGGATCACAGATCTAAACGTAAAACACGAAACTGTAAAACTCCTGAAAGATAACACAAAATGACCTCTGGTATGGCAATGACTTTTTAAATACAACACCAAAGGCACAAACCATGAAAAGTAGAGAAAAATGTTTTGCCTTACTCCTGCAGCCTCGCATCCTTGCCCCTTGGTGGGGGCAGGGGCATGCTCCTGCCCCTGCTCCTGGCCTGTGGCAACCAGGGGAACTGAAGGAAAGGAGTATGATTCTGTGGGTTCAACTCACTGCCTGCAGGCGATTCCTTCCAAAGGATCAATATTTGAGAGCTGAGTTATGTAATCTAAAAAGAGTTCAGTCATCCCATTGAATGTATGTATTTTTTTTTGGTTGTCAGATCTCCTTTGCAGTTAGCACTGTATCTTTTGTCCTAACTTTTTAAGCAATTTTGAGATATGATTTACATACAAAAGATGCATCCATTTCAGGGGTACAGTTCAATGAGTTCTGACAAATAGATAAACCATTTAATCACTACCACAATCCAGACACTGAACATTTTTGTCTCCCATGACCCTTCTCAGCAATTCCCACTCTTCATCCCTGGCCTCAGGCAGTTTTGGATAGAAAGTTTTGCTTTCTATCACTATGGATTAGTTTTGCTTTTTCTAGAGTTTCATGGTGATGGAATCACTCAGCATGTACTTTTCTTTGTCTGGCTTCTTTTGCTCAGCACGATGGTGTTGAGATAATCCACGTTGTGTATATTAGCGGTTGATTCCTTTTTATTGCCAGGTAGGATTCCATTGTATGGATTTATCATAATGTTATTTGTCCACTCATCAGTTGATGGACAATTCAGTTTTGAGCTATTATGAATAATGCTGTTATTCATACAGGTCCTTTTTGCAGACATATATTTTCATTTCTCTTGGGTAAATGTCTAGGAGTAGAATTGCTGGTTCATATGGTAAGTGTATGTTTAACTTTATAAGAAACTGTCAGAACACATCATGATCTTAGGAACTTGATTTTTTGGCAGGAGTCACTGTTTTGACTCTAGTATTGAATATACCCCTCTGTTCCCATTGGATTTTGTAGACTAGATATTGTAGACTGTCTGAAAACAGGTTGACCAAACGGTGGCCGTTTGGTCTAGAAGTTCTGGGTTAGGGTCTGTTCTGGGTGAGACAGTATTGGGTTATTGCTTATGCTAAAGACACCAAGCAGGTCAACAGCTCATTCCTGAAGGATACGAAGTATTTACAGGGGAAATCGTCCCCCATGGAGAAGACAGAGGGCTTCTAACCCAGATCTTTCCTTAACTTCCCTGTCTTCTTAGGGGGAGAAGCAGGTGGCCAGCTCAGTCTGAGAACTACTGTGGTGGATGCAGAATGGGCAAAACCTTGGCTCAGGGCCTGTTTCTGCTTCTAACTAGTGTAGCAAATGGAAATGAGATACCAAACGTACTCCTACAAGACTGAGAAGGGTGATTTGTAATGGAAATAAGAGGCAAATGTAAGTTGCTATTCATCTACACACTAAAGAATAGTCAATACAAATGCCTAGTCTGTTTCTGCCTTTCTTTTAAAGTAAATATGCTTGTAATAGGAATCAAACTTCAGATCACCGTTTTGCAATGGTTAATTCAACAGAAGATCACATTTTGTCTGTTTAAATACAGACGTGTACTTTTGGGTATTCTCTAAGTATGTTAAAAGCAATTCAGGTTTCATAGACAAGCAAGATGGGAAAGGCTGAGTTGCAGTCTCTAGATGCTGGCTGTCTATGGAAGCTTCCTGAGTGTTCTAATGAAGTCATTTTTGTGTCTCGTTAACCCTTTTGGTGGGTGTATTCATTATCTATTGTTGTATAACAAATTACCACCAATTTAGCAGCTTAAAATCACACATATTTATTATCCCATAGTATCTGTGGTATCAGGAATCCTGGCATGGCTTAGCTGGGTCTTCTGCTTCAGAGTCTCTTATCAGGCTGCAATCACAGTGTTGGCTGCAGCTAGGGTCTCATCTGAAGGCTTGACTGGGGAAGGAGTCACTTCTGAGGACTCATGGTTGTTTGGCAGAATTCAGTTCCTTGAGGTTCAGACTGGGAGCCTCAGTTCCTAGTTGGCTGTTGGCCAGAAGCCACCCTCCATGTCTTGTCATACGGGTCTTTCCAATATGGCAGCTTGTTTCATCAAATATGCAAGCCCAGAAAGCAATAAAGAGTGTCTTCTTTATGGAAGTCACAAGATGGAAGCCGCAAGTTTATGTAACCAAATCACAAAAGTGACATCCCATCACCTTTGGTGTATTCTGTTGGCTAGAAGCAAGTCACACCCATCCCCCACCCCCCATGACACACACACTGAAGGGGAGGGTATTACACAAAGGTGTGACTACCAGGAGGCCTCTTAGACTCTGCTTGCCAAGCTGGGCTACAGTCAGACCTGCCTACCTCTGAAACCAAACGCATGCAAATAGTTGCCTAGAGATTCTAGTGCTATGAACAACTCAACCACAGAAGTAAAAATGAGTGGATACGGTTGGCACAAATTGTAAAGGATGGTCTTTCACTCTTCTAGACTTATTCTTATAGGAAGTGGGTAGAACAAACGGTTTATCAGTGGGATTTTCTTGTATATCATGACCAGCATCTGTACAATATATGACCCAAAGGAGGCCCTCAATAAAAACTGTGTGCATGAATAGATTTTGGTTTCAAAATCTAGCTTAACTGGATCAGTTCTACTGCTCTCCTTTTATAACAAATATTTTATACTATCCTTCATCCTGAAATGAAATCCATAAATAGAATTTACCTACACACATAATTTCAAACATCAATATGACTTGACTGTAATATAAAAAACCCACCAGCTTGGTGGTTGCCAGAGGCGGGGGTAGAGAGTGGGAGAAATAGGTAGAAGGGGATATTATATATTTTTAAAAATAGAAATAAAAATGTAAGTATGCTATAAAATTTTAAAAAAGAAAAAATACTAAAGGACAGTAATTTATAATAAAAATAATGTCAGGATGTGAATGCTGTAAACCAAAATGGTTAGCTGCTTGCTTCTGAGTTTAGAGTCACCATTAATGGGACATTTAGCAGAACAAATGGCTGGGCCCTGGCACTTCCCCCTGAACACACTCCCCCAGTTCCAGGGATGTCCCCCAGTTATTACAACAACAAAACACTCCTTTATATTTCACTAGTGGGCAGTGCCACTCCCCGTTGAAAACCACTGCACTAGAGCTTAGCCTCTAGGGGAAAGGAAAGTGATGCAATTATTCCGGTTTCCTTGGACACAGCTTACCTCAATATCCAGGGGCACCACGAGGGAGATGAGGATAAAGATCAGTGCACTCAAAGTATCTGTTGGGGCCCCGCAGCCGAAGCACAGTTGGGTGCTTGGATCAAGCAGAAGATGGCAGTAAATGCTGGACATGGGGAAAGAGGGAACCCTGTGTGTCAGGCTGTCAGGAATGGGCATCTTAAAGTGGACACTTTGAATGCTGAATTTTAAGAATACTGACAAAATGCTTTCTTTTCCAACAGAAACCTGTTTCCCTCAAATCTTGTGGTTGCAGCTTTCCGTACGGTAAGCTTGTTGCTTTGCTAAAAATATGAAACTTTGGGGAGGGGTGGGTTACGTATAAATTACTGCTATAGAGTTAGGTAAGGTGGAACAGGGAGGGTTGTGTTGTTAACAACACTTAGTATCATTGGCCTAAAATTTATAGATATACCCCTGGAGTCAAAACAAACAAAACAACAAGAAACCAAAAAATTTTTCCAAAATATCCCACTAGTTCCAGTATCTTTTCATATCACCTAATACCCTCAAATCACATTTTTGGGAGTTCTTAAATATTTTAGATTTTTTTTTTTTTGGCTGTACTGTGTGGCTTGTGGGACCTTAGATCCTTGACCAGGGATTGAACTTGTGTCCCCTGCAGTGGAAGCACCAAATCCTAACCACTGGACTACCAAGGAATTCCCTAGAATTTTCAAAAAATACATTTTAATCTTTTTTTTTCTGATTATAGGGATAACGTATGCTCCTTGCAAAAAATAAAGTGCAAAAAAGTAGAAGAAAATAAAAATCACCCATAATCGCTACCTAGAGCTACCCATTAACATTTTGGTATACATCCTTCCAGTATGTTTTTTCTATACATGTGCACATTCACATGATTTTAAAATAATTATGCTATATAACATTGTTAGTATGTACACGTGCTACACATATTGTTCTGTAACCTGCTCTTATTGTTAACATTTTCTCATGTCGGTAAATATCCTTCTGCATAAGTTATTGGCTGTATTCCTCTGTATGAGAGTATCATAATTTTACTCAACCCGTCCTTTGTTGATGGTGGTTTCCAGTTTTTCCCTAATTTTAGCAATTCTTCAAGTAACTCCCCTGCAGCCATGCTTTATATAGAGAAAGAATATAAAGGTCTAGATAGATGGACTAAACTGATTGCCTTTTTCAAGCCAAGACTTTTCTGTTTCTACTTACAGCCTCTCTTTAAAACAAACGTACAAACAAACAAACAACAACAACAAAAACCCCTGCATATAAACATAGCTGTGGCTTGTATGTATAATGTGAGCTAGGAGAAAAATACAAGGTTTGCGGGGCTTTCAGTGCCTGGCACAGAAGGTGTGGGGTGGGTTTTTTTGCCCTGCCATCCTTAATCACGGGACAGCTGAACATCTCTGCCCATCTGAAAGCTTGATAATCAAAGCTGAGAGAGACCAGAGCTCTTTAAAGGCCGGATCAAAGCAAGCCTCTGGGTCTGAACCCTCTAAGGGGCTCCTCTTAACAGTTCAGAAGCCAGGTGTCCTTAGAAGGGTCAGGAAGGGTGTCTTATAACAGAGTCCCCTCAACGATAATGCATACTGCCCCAGGGAGACAACTGTGTGCGTTGGGCAGAAGTGTGTGAAGTCAACTGGCAGGACCAAAGTTGGAGGGACGTTTCACCTCTGATGAGTGGTCTCCCAGAAGACTCAGCCCGAAAATGCTGTCTTGCCTTCCAGCCTTTGCTCTGGGGAGTGGAGGCTGAAGGCAGATTAGAAACAGATGCTGAAAAGCAGTCAGGCTCAAATAAGTTCTGGAACATAGTGGAGCATAAATAAATGAATGAACATAAAATAACACATCGAAAAGTGTACTTCGGCATCGTGGAACGAATTCCAAGTTTCCCCAAATAAGGTGAACTCTGAGCTGTTGGAGATATCAAACCATCAGCTTGAAAGTGTGCAGACCTTCTCCAAACCAGCGACCAGGGGACGTAGGAAATTCTCCCCATTTCCTTGGCTTCCTAAAAAACCAGAAGTCTGGAGTGCATGCTGCCTTGGTCTTAAGTAACTTTTGTACAGTCCTCAGAGGCCCTTGTAAGGCCAGCCAAGTGAGGAGTGCCCAGAAGACCTGGAATGAAGAAGGACAGAGTAGCCAGAGGCCCAGCAGTCCTCTCGGTTCCTCCAGGTGGTCTTCAGCTGTGAACTGACGGGAGTTTTGCTTTCTCTTGTTCACAGTATGCAACCGACTATAGAGAGGTGACCCACAACACAAGCACTGGAAACATAACCCGTGAAAAGGTAAAACTTCTTGTGAGATCACTTGTGGCAAATACTTATAACACAAATCATGCTTCATAGCTGAAGGAGCATACACGATGCGTGTTTTTCTCAGCTGGACTGAAGACTTTGGGGTTTGAATGGGCTGTTTGAAACACACGGGTTAGGTTTGCTCCTTTGGCCATTTACCATGTTTAGTGGATCCATTTCATTGAATTGGAACTACTGCCCCCTTTCTTAGAAAAAATAATTTTATAACACCCCTTCTACTATTCTGAAATATAATTAATAGGTGATTTAACCTACCCCTGCACATAGAATTGGTCTTGGGGGTTTAACTCACTATAACCATCATTCATTCACAAGTATTTTTGAGTACCTGTTGTTTACCAGACACTGAGCTAGGTCCCAGCCTTCATGCTATATAGCTGGAAGGGACAAGGGACCTCAAGAATTATTCAGTCCAGCCATGGAGCTGCCATGGGGAGAAGGAGGGACTTTGCCCTTCCCCATCCCCTAGTACACCTCCTTAGGGCTTGAGTGGCTCTGAGTTCTACCAGCCTTTCTTTATTTTATTTATTTATTTTTTTGCGGTACGCAGGCCTCTCACTGCTGTGGCCTCTCCCGTTGCGGAGCACAGGCTCCGGACGCGCAGGCTCAGCAGCCATGGCTCACGGGCCCAGCCGCTCTGCGGCAAGTGGAATCTTCCCGGACCGGGGCACGAACCCGTGTCCCCTGCATTGGCAGGCGGGCTCTCAACCACTGCGCCACCAGGGAAGCCCTACCAGCCTTTCTTTGATTGAAGGAAAAGTTCTACTTTTTAAAAAAAGTCGAAAGCTATTAGTTTAGTCCATTTCACTTCATCTTGCAGATGAAGCACCTGAAGCTCAGAGAAGTTATTTAGTATCAGAGCTGGGACTAGGGTTCAGACTAGAGCGGTGGTAAAAATGCTCTTTCGGTTTTTACCGTGCTGACCTGTTCCCTGTTCAGAGTTTCACAATGTGTTGTGATGGAATAAAATGTTCCTCTAACATATGCTTAGAGTAGTGAGATTCAGCGCTGCTGGAAAAAGTGAATACATTATACCTGTACACTTTAAGTCAGTGATTTGGGAAAGAATATCCTGAAAATATCCATGTTGACTCTGAACATCTTCTTTGAAATTTGTCAGTGAGGAGACTATGGTAAGAGCCCAGCAACAAAGAATTTGTTGACATTTAGGAGGCAAAGTTCCAGTCACTGACTCTTGATCTGAAGGACCTTTTCACCAATCAGCTCTTCTTTTAAAAGCAACCCTTTGAAGTGATTGTCCAACCTCTAGCTGAATATATCCAGTGATGATGAGCTCGCTACTTTCTGCTTCAACCTATGCCCATTTTGAACAGCTTTCAGAGTTAACAACTAGGTGAAGATTTTGTTTGTTGACTTCCATATCCTCAGACTCCATCTCCCCTTGAGTTTCCTGCCCCTTGATTTGTGAAATCACTGAGGGTTAAAGAAAATAGGAGCCTTTCCTCCTTCCGGGCACAGTGTTTCAGTCTGGCAGAGACAACGGAGCAAATGCATTCTTTAATTCTCACTCATCTGTTGTAAACTTAGACCCTTTGTCCGCTCTGATCCTACAGATCCCCATTGGCACTGAAATTGAAGGTATGAACATTTTAGGATTGGTCCTTTTTGCCCTGGTGTTAGGAGTGGCCCTGAAGAAACTCGGCTCTGAAGGAGAAGAGCTCATTCGTTTTTTCAATGCCCTCAATGAGGCGACGATGGTGCTGGTGTCATGGATTATGTGGTGAGTGTCACCCTGCCACTTGCTCTCTCTCTCATTTCTCCTGCCATCCAGAAAAGAACCTGACTTAGCTGTTCTAGGTCACCCCAATGGGACCACCTGGACCAGTGCTCTGTATGTGGTTGATGTACCACAGGACAGTCTTGGTACAAGGGGTGAAGGACCTCAGAGAAACAGGCATGTGTCATGGTTACCAATCACTTCCTCATCACCCACAATGACCCCTGGGTTTTATCATTGGGGATTTATCTATGAGTCCCACCACCATCCCATATCCCATGAGATGCCCATATCATCTTGTGGGGCAATGGATTCCATAAATTTGCTATCTGCTCTATAAAATAAGGCTCATTTCACTTTAAAGGATAGACTTCAAGCTTCAGAAGGGCCCCTTCCTATAGTATTTTACAACATGGAGGGTAAATCCATCTTCACTCCATACATATATGTAAACTTGGAATGGTCTCTCCTTTATGTGAATGTTTCTTTATGTAATATCAATGCAAGGGCAATTGTTTAATAAAAACCATCAGATTGATTTCTGGCTAACAAGGGAAAAGTTGACAAGATCTCTCAAAGTAACTTCTCAGAAGTCATACCGATTTCTTATGAGGCCAATGCCTCATAAGCTTTATCCTGCTGTTTTACTCAAGCCAAACTTTGTGGGTTTTAGCTTCTACCCATTCGTTGCTGAGAAACTAGTTTATCCTTTTGTGCACAAAGCATCTTCCTTATTGTCAACCCTTACATATCCCAGAACGTCTCTCTCTTAGATGGCATTGGGATGGCAGCTGCACTGATTTTAGGAGAGAAGCCTGGAATTTGGTAAGAAAGTTTGAGATTCGGTGGGAAGCCAAGTTCGGAGCCTCCCCTGGTGATGTTTATCTTGCTTAACCAAATTTTCTTGCTCACCCCAAAATTCCAGAGTCTGACTCTATATTGTAAACATGACACTTCATATGACTGCTGTTGTTCAGGGGAGGAAAATATTTTCAGAAAGGAAAACATGTTTTCATCACATCGAGTTCTTTTCCTGGCTTATTTTTTTAGTCTAAAATCCTCCCAAAGGTTGGATTAAAGGAAACTGTGGAAGAAAGTGATGTTCGTATGTTAAGACATTTGTTTTCAATCTGGAAACCAATTTACAGTCATTCCTTCAATGTGATGTATTAGTTACAGAAGCAGACATTTGGAAGGGCAGACCCAGCTGAGTGTCTTAACCGCAGTGAGAGATCTGTTGCCTAAAAAGTGCCTATGCGTGCATAGGAAGTAGGAGTGGTTATCAGAGGATGGGGCTGGCTTGAAGATGGTCCCTAAAGATTTTGGCCTAATCTATAATGTTTTAATTTTTTTTAAAGGAGAATGTTTTCATGTATTACTATGGGATTTTAAAATAATAATACTGCTTAGAATATCTCTGGGAAGAAAACTCAAGAAACCAGTGACATTGGCTGTCTCCTTGGAAGGAAGATGGGTGCTTGGGTACAGAGGTGGGAGGCAGACTTCACCCTTTTGTACCCTTTAAAATTTGAACCATGTGACATTATTATGTATATAATTAAAATTTACAAACAAAGTTGATAGTTATAAAATTCTTCCTCAATTTATATTAAATTCAAAACAGCAGACTTTTGTTCTTTGTAGCGCCCATAGTTCATTTCTTCCCTTCCTTCTTCCCATCCTGCCATTAAAAAAATCTTCACGCTCCAAGAGTGTTCCCAGAGGGTCATTGTTAATGACTTTTTCCCACAGAATCATGTTTTCCAAACCACAAAGAATTTAAAACTTCACAAAAGGCCCAGCTTTGGCTCAATTCTGTATCACAGCAATTCTGCAAAATAGGTGTCTTTTGTGTTTCTAAGTTCTGAGAACAATCCTGAGCAAAGCTGAAAGTCAAGCTCACAGCCCCAGAGGCTTTGCTCTTGAAGAGTTCCTTGCCTTTCCACTTGGGAGCCCATATGGTTGGTTGCATCCAGCTGTTAAGAACATACAATATCCAAGGGGAAAGAAGTCTGTGTCCTAGTCCTGACTCCATCACCCACAATGAGCAATCATGTTAATTTTACTCAGTTTCACGGCCTGTAAAATGGGCACGGTATACCCCCATCCTTTTCTGTTCCTTAGGGTCATCCTAGGGAGAGGTGAAGACCACCTAGTTGAGAGTCCCTGCGTTCTGTGACAGGAAAGGCCTACATCTCTCAGCCCCAGCATCACCACCCTTACTGACCAGTGCCCTTTGCTCATGTCCTAGGTACGTACCTGTGGGCATCATGTTCCTGGTTGGAAGCAAGATTGTGGAAATGAAGGACATCATCGTGCTGGTGACCAGCCTGGGGAAATATATCTTCACATCTATATTGGGCCATTTTATTCACGGAGGAATTGTTCTGCCACTTATTTATTTTGTCTTCACGAGAAAAAACCCGTTCAGGTTCCTCCTGGGCCTCCTCACACCATTTGCAACAGCATTTGCCACCTGCTCCAGGTGAGTGGGTTTCAGGTGCCCTTGGCTGCCCTGAGCTGTATTAATATGGAACCAGATGAGCCTGTGGTGGATGCACAACCATCATCTTGACATATTTTAATTTCTTGAAGACTCTAAATTGGTGTCATCTGATTTTTTTGTACTGCCAGCCCCACAGCTCTTTGGAAGTGGATTTTTAGGATTGCCAGAATGAGGGATTGCCTCGTTCCCTTCTTCTTGCTGCTTAGAGGTCAACTGGACCATTACTTAGTCCAACTGTGGGTCTTCACCCTAATTAGACCTCTGCCTAAGTGAAAGAAGGCAGCTACTTAAAACGCATTGCATGGGAATAAAGATGCAGACCTACTAGAGAATGGACTTGAGGACACGGGGAGGGGGAAGGGTAAGCTGTGACAAAGTGAGAGAGAGTGGCATGGACATATATACACTACCAAACGTAAAATAGATAGCTAGTGGGAAGCAGCTGCATAGCACAGGGAGATCAGCTCCGTGCTTTGTGACCACCTAGAGGGGTGGGATAGGCAGGGTGGGAGGGAGGGAGATGCAAGAGGGAAGAGATACGGGGACATATGCATATGTATAACTGATTCACTTTGTTATAAAGCAGAAACTAACACACCACTGTAAAGGAATTATACTACAATAAAGATGTTTAAAAAAAAAAAACTCATTGCAGGGAAGTTTCTAGAATGATACCTGCCCAATTCTTTCTCCCTTTGGATGGGTGAGTTATTTCCTAAATAAGACCAAGGCATCCTGGTGAGGGAGGCATGCTCAGCTCTCTAGGAGTCCATAGTATTGTGGGATTATCTCATTTAGCACAAAAGATGGACCTTGTCATTATTAGAAATCCTTCACAAAAAAATTGGGCTTTCCAAATACACTAAAGGAAACTTTCAAAGGATGGCAGCACATTGTTTCACTCACACATTTAGTTTTTGCCTCCCTACGGCGTGTTTCCTCCCATCCTGACTGGCTATGTATATGACAAGGTCGTGGGGGGAAAGAATGAAGGAGGTAAGTTTCTCCAGCTTAGGCAGAAACAAGCCTACTCTCGGCTGTGCCAGCCACACCCTGCAGAATCTGCAGAGCCCACTGGAGAGAGCAGGTCTTATTCTTTGTAATCTAGGAATACAGTTACTCTTTCCAAACTCTCAGAGCCATCTCGGCTTCTTGGTCTAAAAGAAAAAAAAAAAATCATAGTTTGCCTTTTACTTTTTGGGAGGAAAAATATTCAAGAGAGGAGACGCACATTTTGTACCATGAGACAATGTGTGGTTCTTGAGAAATTTGGAACAGGGGTATCCAGGTAAAAAAAAAACAACAGGTAAATCTAAGGAGTCCAATTTTGAATACTTTGGGAGTTAACAAAACCCCACGTGTGACAGAAACTTTGCAACAATTCTGATATTTCTCTTATTTCAAGGGGAGAGCGCCATAAACTGGGATGGTGCCAATTGCTCTGTTCCCAGGTCTGAGCTGAGTACTATGTTAGCCTGGGCAGGAAGGACTATTCTCATGGTTGGTTGTTTGCGTTTCCAGCTCTGCAACCCTTCCCTCTATGATTAAGTGCATTGAAGAAAACAATGGTGTAGACAAGAGGATCGGCAGGTTCATCCTCCCCATCGGGGCCACGGTGAACATGGACGGCGCAGCCATCTTCCAGTGTGTGGCCGCAGTGTTCATTGCCCAGCTCAACAATGTGGAGCTGAAAGCAGGCCAGATTTTCACCATTCTGTAAGTTCTGTAGTCTTTCCTTCATCATTAGGCCTGGTACAAAACTTGAGGTCTTTTTCTTGTGATTTCCTTTGAAAAACTTCATGAATACCAATCTCACCATGATTCGGGTGCCTCATTTGTAAACTGAGAACAGCGTGAATTCATTACTCGAAGAGAGTGGAACCTCTCTCAAGGGCACAGCTGACAGACTCTAGGGTTGTGTGGCCTTCAGTTTCCAAGCCATGGCTGCCATGTTCTGCATGTCTCTGTGCCCCCTCATACTCTGGGCTAATGGCTGATCCTGCTGTCCCATCTCCTAGAGTGACAGCCACAGCGTCCAGTGTTGGAGCAGCAGGCGTGCCAGCTGGAGGGGTCCTCACCATCGCCATTATCCTGGAGGCCATTGGGCTGCCCACTCATGACCTCTCTCTGATCCTGGCTGTGGACTGGATTGTGTAAGTAGCAAGTCCTAAGGGCACCGAATAAAAGAAGGTCTGTAACGAGCTCCCTAGAAGCTTGGCACTCCGCTGGCCTGGGGCATGCAGAGAAACTTAAAACATGTCATTACTGAGAACTTGCTCAGAACATTCAGGAAAGCCAGGGGCCCAAGGGTCTATAGATATTGTTGGCTGCACAGGGGTCATAGCCATTGGAGCAGCGAGCCTTCGGGAATGATCATCCTTGGCCTGGAATGTCCAAGGAGTGATTTCTGCAAGGGGAGAAAAGATGAGCCCAGCTAATGCGAATGTCATGGCTTGGGCTCAGGAGCGGAGTTAGGAAGGAGCTGTGATCCAGATGGCCATTACCTGGGCTCCCATAAAGACACAGAACAGTTTCTGAGTGTTGCTTCCTTGAGTCCCATGATACCTTTCTCAGATACAAACAATACCTGTTTTATAGGGAAGGTCCGCTGAGGTACTGATGTTGGACAGTACAGCATGTGAATAAGAAAATGAACACTGGAGCCCAGGTACCTGGGCTCAAATCCCAGCTTTGCCATTTACTAGTTGTATGATATGAACCATCTGTGCTTTGGCCTGCCCATCTGTCAAATGGGGATAAGAACAGAACCTACACCAGAGTTATGGTGGAGACTAAATGCGTTAACACGTGCACAGCACATAGAAGGGTTCTAGGCACATGCAGGAAGAGCATTCAGTCAACACTGGGGAAGAAAGACGCCCCTGGCCAGGCTAGTCAGAGCTGGGCATGGGATACCCTAAACACTGGAGCCTGGCCCTGGGCTCGTGGCTCAACCCATGGTGGTTGGAAATCTTGTGTTTGGAAATCTTCAAGCCCTGGAGACTTGAAGGGGCTTCTCAGAATCCCTACAGCTCCTCGGGGGTGAAATGTGACATGTGCCTTGGAGACCCGCCTTGTCTAGAGAGCACTTGGGAGGGAACTCAGTCCCTGCGATGGTACGTTGCGGTGAGCTGGACGGGACCACAGCTGCGTGTTAGAGGCCCTGCCTCCTTCCTCACCCCGCTGTTTCCTCTACGTGGGGAGTGCAGGCACAAAGGGACACTTAGCCAGGACGAAGGACGCAGGGCGCCAAGCGGGCTGCCCAGGCGAGACCTGCAGTCACAGGAGCCCTGTACCACCGCGACCTCTGATTCCACAGCCCTCAGCTTCTCCAGTGCCGCGGGCAAGGTCACATTTTCCCCCTTTCTTCAGAATGGGCACAATACTTCCTCTGAGCCCCAGGCATGGGGGATGGTTATGGGGGTCTGGGAAGACAAGCTTCTGGAAGGGACAGCGCTGTTCTCTGTGAGATGGTGTTTGCCACCAGCCAGGGAAAGCATGTGGAGGTTACAATTCAGTAGAGATGCAGTGTCAAAGTGAGAGCAAGAAGGCAGGTTCCCACAGCGCAACCGTGAGTGGGAGAGAAGCTGGACCCAGGACGGAATCTATGCGATCATTCCAGCTGTCTGTAACTTTTATACGATGGTGCCTCACACGTGAAATGCATACATTGAAAGATTTCTGGAAGGAAACAGATCCAGAGGTCAATACTGGTTCACTCAGGGTTGCGGAGTATGGGGGGGCGGGGTGACTTTTGTTTTCTCCTTTGTACTTTTCTTTTTCCCAAGTTTTCTTGAGGGTCTGTTAGTTTCATAAAAAGTATTTGGAGAAAATCACTTTAGCATCAAGTGAGGCCCTGTGCCCTTACTAGCTTGCTCGCCTTCAGTGTCACAGCTTCCTGGTGGCTCTGCCCAAGGTGACATCCGCCCCCTGGTGGCTCCAGGCAGCATTGGCTGTAATGCCTGCCTGTTCTCTTCCCCCCAGGGACCGCACCACCACCGTGGTGAACGTGGAGGGCGATGCCCTGGGTGCAGGCATCCTCCACCACCTGAATCAGAAGGCGACGAAGAGAGGCGAGCAGGAGCTGAGTGAGGTCAAAGTGGAGGCCGTCCCCAACTGCAAGTCGGAGGAGGAGACGTCACCCCTGGTGACACACCCAAACCCCACTGGCCTTGCGGCCAGCACCCCCGAGTCCAAGGAGTCAGTTCTGTGATGGGGCTGGGCTTCCAGCTTGCCTGTGGGGGATGCCCGCCCCATCGGTCCGGTCGGCAGACCCGGGCACCGCCTTCACTGACTTCTAGCCTCCCGTGCAATGCTTTGGCCCAGTCACTGGTTTGAGGATTACTTCTCAGCACAGGCATTGGGCTTCCCAGCGGGACCTGGTTCCCAAGGACCAGGACACTCTGCCATTTGGCTTACCATGTCTAGGTGCAACTGTGTACACCCCAGCTCTGTTTGGAAACACACCCTCGAGCTGCCGGGCAGGGGGAGTAACAGGCTCACAGGACCTGGTGGTTAAAGCTTGGAAAATGCACATGTTACTTCATTGCACCCAGGAAAGCTCAGCCTTGGGTGCTTTCTGGGCAGACCTGGACGGGTGGCAGCCATCTGTCGCATTGCCTCGTGAGCCATAGTAATTGGAGGAATTCCCAAATTCATAGCCGTGGCTGGAATTCACTGAGCTGGGCCTCAGGTGTTGAGAGTCTACACATCGGCCTGACTGGCTTCTGGGTCACTAGGCTGGAGGCGCTGCATGTCGTCGAGTTAGAAATACTCCATGGTGTTAACACTGCTAGGGTCTCTGGTCAGTGGCACTAAGTAAACAATTACATTCTGAAGTCAAAGAAAGGAGGGGGAGTGCAGCCTGATCAGGCCAGGATACACACACACACACACACACACACACACACACACACACCCACACACACACACACCCACACCCACCCCCCCCCCCCCCCCCCACACACACGCTAATGTCCCCATTCTGGCCCCAGCCCTGGGGAGGTTTTCTGCTTTCATGACCTGGGCCTATGTCAACACTGGCTCTACACCCATCTACTCTGATTTGGCAACAGGCCAGAGAGGGGCCCCCCTCCTCTGGGGAGGTGTCATGTGGTCATCACATTCAGGACCCTGGCTGGTCTAGCAACAGATTTTAATCCAACTAGACCCTCCCTAAAATGCTGCATTGCAGCAAAAACAAAATTTTTAAAACCCCACAAACCCACCCCTTCATTGGAGTGAGGTACCACTGTTCCCAGATGCCCTAGCTTTGGCTGATTTCCATAGACTTGGTTTCCTTTCCCTCCAGGACATCAAAGTTTAAAATTATAAGCTAAATGGTCCACCTGATACTTACTGACTTGAGCTGAACCTAGGGGAGGGGGCTTTACGGAGAGAACAAGCATGCCCGGGATAGGGAAGGAAAACCTAAAAGGCACTAGACTGCTATTTCTCTGTGGCTGTTGGTGTGTATCTGTGGGGTAACCTGCAGCAAGTCCTGAAGCCTCACTTTACCCCATTAGTACAATGGGGCTGATGTCACCTGCCTCTTACCTACCTCAGAGGGATTTGGTGAGGCAAACTGAGTGAATCCACGAAAAATGACCATTTCGCATTTTGCTTCTTGGATATCAAGTGCTAACACCCCTGTACCCTCCTTACTGTTACCTAAGTGATACCTAAGTTCTCCAGGAGGCTCCTTCTTCTGGGGAGGACAGCTTTTACGAGCAGGGCTTTGTTCTGTGTGCAGGAGCAACTGTTATCACGTCACTTTTTCTCTTAGTAGTTTCTTGTTAGCATCAAATGCAGCCTCTTCCTGATGTCCTTCATCTTTTTGTGAATTAACTACCCCACCTCCCAGCACACTTCTGGGTACCTGACCTCCCCGTGACTCCCAGACCCAGGCACCATTTCTGCCACCGCACACTGGCCATTAAAACTCCCAAACTTTCAGCCTCGCTCATTCCCTTGTCACAACTGGAATAGGGGGAAGGGGGGACAGAGAGTGAAGCTCCCCTGTATTAAGATTGTGGGGCATGGGCCTGAGCAGAATGGGCGGGGAAGAACCAAGGGGCACGGAGCAGACCTGGCCCTTTTCCCTTCAGCCCTCTTTAAACCAGCTAAGTCACTCCCGTCTCCTGTGAAGCAGGAGTGACCAGGAGCTGGGCTGAGAGGAGCCTGGAAGCCTCGACCCTCTGGCTTGTTGCTGATGCCTTCTGTTTACAAAGGGGAAACAATCACATTGATGGATCCCAAACTGCAAATCCCAAACATTCACTATTTTTCAGGTGTCATTAGATCTCATCTTTCCTTCTTCCACATATATACATGGCTATGGACGTACACATACATATGTGCAGCATGTATGTGGGAGGTATACATGCGGGTAACATCTATATGTGCGTGTGTGTGTGTAGTTGAGCTCCAGTCCGGGCGAGTTTGAATTTGGACAGGTGGACGAACTGCACGTTGCATGTCTTGGGCATATCCTGATTTTCCTGTTGCTAAAGGTGAATTTTACAAAACATGGACAGCAGAGCTGGACGATCAGACTCAGGGACTGCGCATCCTCTATCCTGGACCTGGGATTGCGGTGAGGGGAGCGCTGTGCCTGGGGAAGGGTGCTTCCTTGTAAAATCCAGATGGTGATTGCTCCCCTTCCCTTGGCTTTCTCCCTGTTTTTCTGTCTGCAACAAGAATCAGACCAGGAGTGACCCGGCTGGGGAGAATGCCACTTTCTCATTGTCTGAAGATGTCTCCCCTGCGCTTCTAACATGTTGTGGTAAATACTGTTCATCTCTGACTGTTTTGTATGTGTGACACTTGCCTTAAAACATAGCAGTCCTCAGAAATGAATACAGCCTTTCTACTAGGATCTGCATGTTCCTTTATTCCTTCCTTGTGTTTTGAAGTGGTATTTACTGGTGGAGCTCTTCTAGGGGAGGGCCTGGGGGTGACTGAATGGATTATTTTTTCTAGTAGCATTTAGCCAGCACGACCCCCTGAGGCCTGGCAGGCCACTCAGGTGTCAGAGCTGCTGCAGGACAGTCACTGATGTGACTTGTGGTGGTGAGCGTCCAGGCTCCTGGGCACCTCCCACTCAGCACTAGCAGGGATCTTAAAACAGTGAGTGGTTTTGCGGCATACCTCCATAGTCAAGTCTCTTTAGGACAAGTAGGTCAACAGGCCTTAATTGACCATCTACTGTAAGCCTAGAGCCAAGCTGAAAGAATGCCCCAGTCTGTAGAATTACTGAGAAAGTCCCTGCCTAAAACAGTTGCCCATGCCTACCATCCTTGCCACCACACCCAGCCCATTCTTTTATATCATCTCATTTTCAGTGACACCGCATTCCAGCACAATTAGGGAACTTAGAAACCTCTTATAATACGATTATCCTACAAGCTCCCGCTAGCAGCCTTAGTTTCCAGACCCTGGGGCCTCTGAAGGAAGAGATCTCCGGTCTTACCTGCACATTTCCAGCCCTTCATATAATATAGCTCCACCTTTAGAGGGAAAAGAAAACATACATCAATCTCAGAAGTGTTCCTTCTTTGAAAAAATTTTTTCAGCTAGTGTCCTGAGGTCAGTAGAGATTCAGTGTCTCTTCACTTTTGAAAAAAATAATACCTTTATTGAGATATAATCCACAAACCATAAAATTCACCCCTTCAAAGTATACAATTCAGTGGTTTTTAGTATATTCACAGAGCTGTATAACCATCAACAATCTAATTCCAGATTTTCATCAGCCCAGAAAATAAACCCAGGACCTCTGACAACCACTTACCTACTTTCTGTCTCTATGGATTTGCCTATTCTGGACGTTTTGTATATGTAACAAAATGCTTCTTTTATAGATACATCCCAGATAAAGAGAATTGGTGTTCAAAATGTAAACACTGCCCACCTTCCCACTACTTCCATTCTCCCCCCCCCCCACACCCACAGGAGAGCCTGTAAGATCTTGTTAATCATCAAATACTGATTCAGTCATTTTAGCCTATTGGGGCAAAAAAAAACAGGGGGTGTGGATTCCTGGATTAATAATGGATTAACGGACTTCCCTGGTGGCACAGTGGTTAAGAATCAGCCTGCCAATGCTCGACATGGGTTCAAGCCCTGGTCTGGGAAGATCCCACATGCCGCGGAGCCACTAAGCCCATGCGCCGCAACTACTGAGCCCGCGTGCCACAACTGCTGAGCCCGTGCGCCTAGAGCCCGTGCTCTGCAACAAGAGAAGCCACCACAATGAGAGGCCCGTGCACCACAACAAAGAGTAGCCCCTGCTCGCCACAACTAGAGAAAACCTGCACACAGCAACGAAGACCCAACACAGCCAAAAATAAATAAAGTAATTAATTAATTAATAATAATGGATGAACCAGAACACAACTAATTTGAAGAACTTTTCCCCAAATGTATAACTGATGAAGGTCTAGGTACCCAGACCACATGTTAAGTTACAGTGTGGTCTGGATCCAGGCAACTGAGTCTGCTGACATTCTGCTCCCTGCACTGTGTGGTTCCATGCCCAGCACCAGGCACATCATATTCTTTGTCAATGATGCCCCCTGGAGTTATGCAGTGTGCAGACTTCATGGTTATACATGGCAGCCCTGAACTCGGGAGGTGAGTTGCAGTTAAAAGATTTGACTCACGCTCAAACATAAAGCATGTGGAATATGTCTGCCCTGTAAAAATATTTTTTTTCCTTTTAATAAGTAGTGGTTAATGAGTCTCAGAGGCAATGAGGCTGAAGTTAAGAGGAACATCCTTAATCAACTTCCCTGGTCAGGTTGGTTTTCCTGTTAGCGTGCCTGTCACAAGGGTTTGTTGCCAGCTACTTTGTAGCATGAATGTACATTTTATCTCTAGGCCACAGAGCACCCTGGGCTGGTTGGCTGGGCTGCTCACAGGCCCTCCTGACCTCCAGCCAAGCCCATTTAAGAGAAGCAATCTCAGGACAAATGGATCTTGTGAGTGGTGGCCCACTCCACTCCATCCTTCCAGAAACACAAGAGCAACAATGGCCAGGACTGAAAGAGGCCAGACACCAAAGCGTGCAATGCTCTGTGTGGTGTTATTCCATTTACACCAACAAAACTGACCTACAGAGTTAGAAGTCAGTTGAGTAGCCTGTTCAGGTGGAGAGAGGGGGTGGTGATTAGAGGGGGACTAGAGAGGCCTCCAGAAGTGCTGGCTATGTTCTTGATCTGGACGGGTGTTTGCTTTGTGATAATGAATTAAGTTGACCCCATATATTTTATATACTTTTCCATAAGTGAGCAATACTTCATTAGGAAAAATAATAGGGGTGGGTAGCAGGACCCAGCAGGAGATCCAACTCTCTGTAGGGGTTCCCAGTTACTTTGGGTGACCATGTCTTTTCTTAGGTGTCCTGTGGCCCACGGGAAATGCTCTCAACTAATTGCATCTTGGTCATCTAGAGCAGGGGTTCAGCCAACCGGCCCCCAAGTCAAATCCAGCCTGCTTCTTGCTTTTGCGTGGCCCTCAGGCACTGCTCCAACAGACAAGCATTGTGAGCCATGGAGACCAAGCTTGGGTGGCCCCATCCACTGGGTCGGGGCCAACTCACCCATTAGGTACAGTACACACAGGGCCTAGGGCCCACAATATGTGTAGGAGCCCACAAAGATAATTTATTTTAAAATCAGAAGGAAAGCATATAGCCCATCCTGGATTATATTCGTGTTTATAAAATATGATCACAGTTATAAAATATAATCTTTAATACGTGCTTATGGTGGAAGGGTCCATGTGACAGAAAGGCATGTGTGGCCCTGGTCCCCGTTCCTCCCTCCACTCCCAGCACCAGCCTCCCTGGTTGGTGGCTGCATCTTACCCCTGCCCAGGGTCCACACTGGTCACCACCTGCATGTTGGGGACTTCACTGTTGGCAAATGCTGGGGACCAG